GAGATTTTAAATATAAATGAAATTTGTAAAAAATCTTCTCGTAATTTTATTCGTATCGTCATTATATTTGTTTGTATTATATCGGTTCGTATCATAATTTTTTTTATATTATTTCTATTCCCTTTTGCAATTGAAAAAGTATTTAAAACTAAGATACGAATTATTTACGATAATTAATTCTATTCAAGCGATTTAAATAAATATGAAAAATCTTCATCGCAGTAAAAATTTCAAGCGAGACATTTTTATAACCTCTATGGCTAGGAATGAAAGAGAGATAGAATGAGAGAGGGTAAGGGAGGAAAAGATACGAGTTATTATTAACAAAAGTAACGTTGAAAAATAGGAAATTAAAATAAATCGCGATCTTTATTAATTTGTGTAAACAATCGAAGTATTCTATAGATCTAAAATTTTTTACATTGGTGTACACACACACAATGTTACAATATTATTGAATCATTCTCGTCCAAAAAAAATCATCAAATATATATATATATATATTAGTTTCGATTAAAACATTTATAAAATATATAGGATGGGTCAAAAGTTCTCATAAGCGATTATAAAAATCGATTATTATTTTGCGAAAAAAAAATTTCTAAAAATAATAATTAAGTTTCGATAATCGCTTAAGTAACTTTTGACATAACTTTTATATGTATATATATATATATTATATATATATTAGATTAAAATCTTTAAAATCCATATATTATATCATGATCTATATATATATGCATGTATAATCTACTTGCGTATATTTATTGTAATTATAAATCATACTTTCTTCTCTTTGGAGATATAACATTAAGAAGATTATTATGTGCCATTTGCCAAAATTGGATTAGTCTTGATCCTTGTTCTTGAAATTTGTTCTGCTTTTAAAAAGAATAAAGGAAAAAAAAAAAAAACGAACATTTTGCTTAAAATTATGCCACCTCCTCCTTCGCGTTTATACCGCAATTGCGGGCCACATTTTTATGACATCTTTTATGAATATTAATGTTACAAGCTAAGAAAAGGATTAGAATAATTAATTGTCATTTTTTTTACATTAAAAGAAAAGATCGTATTAAGAAAATATTTGTTAAAAATTTACCTTTACATTGTACACCTTGTCTATATAATCCATATAAAAGAGAACCACAATGATCGCAAAATGTACATCTTTTATAAGTATGAACAAAGAACTGGTGTGGCATGTCTATTTCATTTTGATGTGATTGAAGTCCAGCCTCTCTGTCCTAAATAATTGATCATGAAAAAGAAAAAAAAAAAAAAATAAGAAAATACAAATTATATAATTAATTTAATAGAATGTTAAAATTTATTTGGTACATTTGTATATTGTAATAAAGAAATTTTTTCTTTATTAATAAGCGAATAAAATAATTATATGCTAAGAAAGCAAGAATATTTATTAAATAACATACCTCATCTACCATTCCAGAACATTTTGCAATAACCAAATTATGACATCGTTTGTGAACTACGCAAGAGCAAACTAAAACGATAACAATAATAATATCTATACCTTTAAAAAAAAAAAAAATAATAATAATAATATTTTTTTTTTTTTACAAATAGCATAACCAAAACTGACTTAAGCATGTAATAATAAAATCATACAGTGAAAAGACTTATCAAGCTTGGCACTTTATCAAATTAAAGCAAATAAGTTTTCCTATTGAATATGATGCTGGTTTATAAGCACTTGAGCACATTCAATTTGTAAATCAAAGAAAGCATATAAATACCAATGGCCAAAATTGAATTTATTGTAAAATTCAAACTAAATTCAATTTTTATAAATTACAAAAACTGTCCTTCATCCAAAATGATTTAATGCCATTGTAAAAATGATTAACGTTGTATCCTAATAATATAATAATAATCTTAATAATAATCTGAATAATAATGTGGATTCATTATAAACAGATTCAACAAGCAAGAGTACATAATTATAATTTGTCAATAATGTGTATGTGTCTTTCTCACCTTGACACTGATAGCCCTGCTTGCCAAAACCCCTGAAACATAATAGACAAAACACATCACATTGTTCCCCAAATATTCTCTTTTAAAACACATATGTATTTCTCCTTGAATGATATACCACAATTAGACATCCATATATAGGTTCTTAAAAAATGTATAAAAAAAAAATGTGGAAAGAAAAAAAGAAAAAGAAAAAGAAAAAAAGAAAAAGAAATTATTAATATAGAACAAAGTGTTGACTGGCGTTTTTCAAGTGGAATCTATTTTCATTTATCAATTTAAATTTATTTAGGAATAAAATTCACATTTAAATAGCCTTAAAAAGAATTCGGACTCACATATGGAATATTTGCTTGGGCAACTCAAAACATGCAACCATTTACAATTAAAACTTTTGACGATGCCAAGATCAATAAGATTAAACAATTACTTAAATAAATGAAAACATTCAAGCATGCTATCTAAAATGTCATTATTTTCTTTTGTTTTTCTCTTTTTTTTTTTTTTTTTTTTTTTTTTTTTTAATCATCAAAATCAAACGTAAAAAGAAAAATCCCATATCTTTGGCATATGTCTATGAAATCCAAGACATTCTGTAGTTAAAAAGATATGTTACATTCACCTATCAAGCAAGATTTACATATGAAAATGATTTGCAATTTATCTAATGAAATTATTACCCCATATAATTAATAATAAATATTATATCATATAATTATCTTTAGCATTGAATAATTATGCCATTAAAAAAGTTCCATACAAACCATATGAATTCGTGACAATGTGAGCAGAATGATGGTTGTTTTAAAAATGCGGCCATAAATTTATGACCATAGACTTGATGAATTCTATGACTCATGGTACCTCTTTGATGATTAAATCCTTGAAAATCTTTAGATTCTCTTTTAGACTCTTTTACGGAATTAATATTTTTATTACTTTTACCATTAACAATAGTTTCTTTAGCAATTTTATCAAGATCTGAAAAATATTCATAATATATTTTATTTATAATCGTTTAAAAGAAAATATCATTTTTCATACCTGTATCGTTATTACGTATCAAATCTATCTTCACGCGTAATTTACCCTGAGGTTTGAGATCGACCTAGAAAAAAAAAAAAAAAAAAAAAACTGATATTTTATGTCATTGAATAAAACTTCAATAATTGTTACATTGCAAGTTAGATATATCAATAAAATTAAATATAACGATAACAATATTCTGTTAGTCTATCGATTAATTTAATATCCTGTCGATATATGACAAACAAAAGATCAAAAAAAAAGAAAAAAAAATTCATAAAAATTTGGGTCGAACTACAAACCCAAAGATCAGTAGTTTTGTCGAGCTCTCCTCCAATGAGTTCCTCGAATGGAATACTGCAATTGGCAACGAAATAATCATAAGGTAAATCAACTTCGTGGAAAAGAATTAATCTAAGTACAACAGCATTTTGAACTTCGTGCGTATAGATTTCATTCCAAACGGGATCTAGGGTATTGTATTTGGTCGAGGAACGATCAAGATGATTCTCGTTGATGTCAATTTGTACGTAACAATTTAATATAGATTCCTCTTGAGAAAAATCTTGTTGTTTTTCGTTCATTCTAAGTCCTATGGCTTCGCATATTTCGATCTTTAACGTACCCGTAAACATCATTCAAGAAATAATATTATACGTCAATGAACTCGTTATAAACTTATCCTAATAAAAGATATATAAAGAAAAAAAAAAAAAAAAAAAAAAAAAGAAATAGAAGAAAGAAAACTAAAGAACAAGTAACGAATAAAAACTACGAGTCGTATGTGCGTACGCTTCGTCGATCAAACGAAAACTGTTGCTTTATTCATTACGAAACTTAACTAAAGGAAGACAAAAAAAACAATTTATTATTGAAACGCTCAAGGTTATAATATTAACGATTTCTCAAAAATAGGATAATAAACAATTCGAAGAGCGGGCGCGATCGTCTTCTTTACAATTGACAATTCCGCGAATTATGAATAATATTGAACGTAAACAAAAAAAAAAAAAATAAGAAGATAAGAAAAGTAAATAAGGAAAAGAAGCAAAACGTAGTACACACACACACACACATACAAACACACATACACAGATATATATTTTCATAGAAAGAGAGATTATTAATAACTTACCAAAGACGTAAATACTGATGCACTAATTCGCACGATAAAGATGAGAGTAATGACGTACAGATTTACGCACTTCGTACACGGATCTTCTTTTTCTCTCTTTCTCGTTTATTTTATATATCGCTATTTGTCTCGTTTTACTCTCTCTCTCTCTCTCTCTCTTTCTCTCTCTTTTTCTATCTTCCTCTTTCTCTTTTTTCCCCCACTCTTTTTCTCTCCCACTCTGACTCCCACTCCCACTCTTTCTTCTTCTTCCATCCCCACTCTTAATTTCTCACTCACTCACTCACTCACTCATTCCCTCTCTCTCTCTCTCTCTCTCTCTCATTCTCTCTCTCCGTTAATCTAATGCAAGCCTATCTTTCGTTCTGTCAAGTTCCTTGCTCTTTTCTTATATCATCCCCACCCTTTTTCTTCCATCTTCAAGCGAGCACCATAATAGAGTTGTAAATCCCTCGGCTTCTTTAACTTTTTTGCCCAGAAAAAAGAGAAACACTCTTGAGAAACACTATATCGATTTCTTTTTATTCATCGATTCTTTTCGATTAGACCTGAATCGATTTATTCGAAACAAAAAAAGAAAAAAAGGAACATCGACATTCATATTGAAAAATTCAAGCGCCATTTTCATATCCTCTATGCCTACGAGAGAGAAAGAGAGAGAGCACGCGCGAGAGAGATAAAGAGAGAGAGAGAGAGAGGAAGGATTATTAATTCGTAATTAATAATTTAACAATGATTTATTTATCGTGAATCGATTTTTTTTTCTAATTAATATCATTACGATGATTCGTCGTGCGATTTTTTTTTTCTTTTTTTTTTTTTTTTTTTTTTTTTTTTATATGTTAATATAGTTTGGATACATAACCTGTTAATTATATCTCGTAAAAATCAATCTGAATATGTCGAGGATCGAAAGATTTTCAATAATGGTTGTCTCGTAGCAAGTGCCTGTTGACATAATATAAACATGCAAAATGAATTTGGATAGTTGTTTTTTTTTCTTTTCTTAAAAAAAAAAAAAAAAAATAACTTCATATTTGTTGATAGTATGAATGAAAAAAAAAGTGCAAAGATAAATCATTTTGATATAATGATCTTAATAAAGGATAAATATTAGAAATATTTAAAAATGAAACTGAAGAACGAAAGTTATATTCTTTTAAGGTATTATTATTATCCGATGATATTTGAATCTGTAATGTGTGAATTAAAAAATTGAACGAAGACATTGTGAAATAATAAAAGTTACGTGTTGAAAAAAAAAGAAGAAAAAGAAAAAATAGAAATGAAAAAGAAAAGTAAGTAAATCGCGTTCTTTATTGATTTTATATAAATAATCGAAGGGAGAAGGGTAGAGGGGTGAGGGGAGTAAAAGTATGGATCTAATATTTACATTAGCGTATCAATGTAACGATGTCGTCGAACAATCATTATGATATCAACATCTTTTCATTGATCACATTGAAAGGAAAATGATAGAGACGAAAAGAAAATCTCAATTTTCTTTTCGTATCGAACGATCGATCAAATTCATTGTGATATGTATTTCTTTTTTTTTTACTTTCGATTGAAGTGTTTGTAAAGGGGAAGAAAACAAGAAAAAAAAAAAAAAAAAAGAAAAAAAAAGAAAAAAAAAAGGAAAACAAAATGGGCTCACAAAATTTCTAAATGATTTTTCAAAAAAATCGATCACTCCTTTTCGTAAATTTTACAGGTTAATTCTTTTTTTCTCTTTGTATTCCTTTTTCTTTCTTTCTTTCTTTCTTTCTTTCGGATTCGTAAAAAAATTTATAACGTCCAACTTGTGAAAATCAAAAGCCTGATTATAAGACCAAAAAAAAAAAAAAACAAAAAAAAGAAGAAATATTTCGAAAGAATAATCGATTTTTAAAATTATCAAATTTTTACCCATATAACCCAATAATACAAACATTCTTTTATCAATGAATTCCCTCTCAGAATTTGGTCGATCGGCGATTTTACAAATCGCTATTTTGTTATTTATTACATATGTATATTGAATAAATATTTTATGAATTATGATGAAACGAGGGAACACAGTTATGACCTCATTAACGTGAATGATGATATTTAAATCCTATTTCGGGGCATGAATGATCGAAAAACGATTATATATATATATATATATATATATATATATATATATATATATATATATATATATAATCATATTTTTTCAATGTTATCATTCATGCATTATTATCAGTTGTTTCAGAAAGATTAACATTTTCTTGTAGTTGTCCTGCATCCTTTTCATCTTTTTCCAGGCCGGATATTACGTAAACCGGTTGTTGATTATAAGCAAGGAAATGTTGATCCATCGGCAAAGTTTTTCTTGGATCCTTCATCTTCATCTGTATCAATCATATCATTAAGAGTGTCATTAAGATTTTTCTTTTTTATATAAACATATATCATTACATAACACACATATATATATATATGGTGGGCCATTTAAATGTTCTGAGGTAATCTTCAAAATCAATTACTCTTTTTCTTTTTTTTTTTTAACTTTTCAAACTTTTTTCCCTTTCTTTTTTTCCCCCCTTCAGATTATAAGATTACAAAATTACTAAGTCTTTACTGTGGCAAAGTTAAAAAGTGTCTTGAAAAAAAAAAAAGAAAAAAAAAAGCGATTTTTAAAATTATCTATAAACTTTTGAACGTCACCTTGTATAAATTAATATCTCTAATATTTTTATAATTATTTTGATATAATTTATAGCATATATTTAGTTCTAATTACAAATGATAATACCTTTTTTCGATACAACATTAAGAGGATTATCAAGCTGCTGATAACAAAGGCGCTGGCTGCCGCTAAAACCAAAGTGGCCGTTTGATAAACGGGTGCTTCAACTTCCGTTAGAATCTCCCGTTGCTCTAACGCAACGATCCTGTTTTCAACAGCGACTGGCATAGATTTATGTGTGAATCGTGACGTCGTTTCATCGGCCAATGACCCAAGGATTAATAGTTTCTGCATCCTTGTCAATTCTTCCAAATGAAAAGCTATGTCGACCTTATTCGTACCGATAATATCAAATTTCAAAAAGGCCGAATCACGTTCGAGATCTACTTCAATATCGTCCTTTATCCTTGCACCTAATTCGTACAAAAATTTTTTAGCTTCCCCTTTAAAGCGTACCTTGTCGGTTATTAAAAATCTTCCTGGAAAACGTAATATGACTTCTACTGCCTCAATTGGAGTTGGTACTGAAATACCATAATAAAAGTTTATGATCTATCATTTGGAAAATAACATTGTACATACGTATATGTAAACCGGTTATTATATATGATCTATATTATTAACTTACAACATATGTTAGTTCCTTTTAAAAATGGTTCTGAGCCAACCAGTTGATTGCCAGCTTCGTCGACGCACCAGCATGTATCACCAGCACATTGAGTAGGTTCAAATTTACCTTGACGATCGCATATAGCCGATACATGACCTCTGTCTCTCATTGCTTGGCATCTGGTAACGATGATCTTTTTCATTTGTTTCTCATCAGCCTCTAATAATTCCAACAAAGTACCTTCCATGAAGGCCTGAATCTTGTAATCTATTTCTTGATTCGTAGGACCTCTACCGCCACGTCTAGCCTGTCTAAAGTTACATTTTGGTTCGAGTCCTCTGATAAGCGATCCTTTCATGGGTTGTCCTTTTCTATTAACACACCAACAAACACCAACGTGTTCCAAACATTGAACAGATTCCCACATGCCAGTATCTTGATTGCATCTAGGTAGAAATGTCGATTGTTTTAATCTTTGTGATGTTTTCAAATTTTTCTCTCGGAGTCTTTCGCACTGAGACAAGACAGGACAAACGGTGTCGCATATCAAACGACTTGAGAAATCATTATGGCCATGCGTACATTCGGTTTTTATTCTGCATTCGTTTTTCTCTGGATCGAAGTACCATCTATTTGTTTCATTGTACATTGTCGTCGTATTACACGGTACTGTACGTAATGGTTCAAAACAAACCTCACGTGGTTTTGGACAACAAACAGCATATTCATCTAACGGCGACAACTCGCACTTGTGTGTAGATGGACATTGATGACCGTGAGGACCACAAGTAGCAGGTAATCTATTTTGATCTAGAAGAGGCGTTCCATTTGGACATGGATTATCCTTCTTCGGTAAACAAACTGGTACTGGTGGACAAGGTGGTACACTACAAGCCACCTCGACCATTCTACAAGCTTCATTCTCACCGCGACAAGTTACTCTTTTACATGGATCTCTACATGAGCACATAGGACAACCACTATCTAGATCCAATTCAAAACCTTCCGATCGACAATCGAGCTTACAATCGATTTCTGGACATCTTTGAGGCTTGTTACATCTCGGTACGATACCTTCGAGAACGCGTGTACCTGCAGCTTCTCTTCCTTCCACGTCGACGCACCAACACATACCGTTGTGACATTGGACTGCCTCGAATGCCCCATTGACGTCACATCTAGGTATATAAATTCTTCTCGCTGGTTCACCAGATTCTCTAGCCGCGTGCTTGGCTACAGCCTGTGCATGTTGACAAGCAGTGGCCATGACAGGTGCTACGCATTGCGTACCACAACCTGTTGAACAACATTTATCCGAATTCGAACACTCTTGATCGTTACTACATTGTAATTCACAGCTCGACGAACTTGGTACCAAATAGGGACATTGTCCGGGTTTCGTTGTCAGACATGCAGGAACGGGTGGACAATATTCTCCTGTGCCACAATTTACGTCCACCATTGTGCAAACTTCTCGTAGGCCACAAGACACATCTTTACAAGGATCGTGACAATTACATTGCTCGCAACCATTCGTATCTATGTCGTAACCGTAAGGACATACCAAATCGCACGATATCGGGGTACACACTTGCCAAGGACTTTTAAGACTTTTGCAATCGGTCTCGGGACTGACGTCACCGCGCAAAATAACTCCGTACTGATTCACGCAAGCACAGGTACCGTTATTACATTGCAAAGGCTTGTAAGTACCATTTTCCTCGCATTGCGGTGGTGGAACAGCCAAGGACATACCTTCTCTCGTACCTTCCATTCGTTCACCGAAATCTCGCAGATATTCGCACACTAAAATTAATTGATATTTGTATCGTCAATAAAAATCATTAAACGATTATATTTTTTGAAAACTTACTTGATAATTTTTTTACTGTGGTCGATGGTATAGCGCAACAGATTGATTGTCCAGCTTCCGGTACCACTGTACACGCGTAATTATATGGACAGGTCTGATTGTTAGAACACGTGATCGCATTACCTTCTTCGTCGCTCAGAGGTGTACCGAAAATGCAAGGGCTTTTATAAGTTCTTTTTGCTTTACATTCTGGCTTGGTAGGACAAAGAAAATCAGGACAATTCGTTTCCTGTTTGAGCACACACTCTTCTTCGGATGGACATGGAAAACTGAATGAGAGAAGTAAAAGGATGTAAAACAAATCGAGGAAAAAAGATGTGCTTCAATTTAACGCATTATGAATTTCATTTACTCTTACATACCCCTCGCAAGGATTATCGCATTCGCATGTAGAACAACCGGAAGAATCAGTTTTAAATCCATATTGACAAACTTGAGCGCACTGTTGTTGAATGCAAGATGTCGATAAAGATCTTGCCTTGGCAATCGACGTACAATTTACTTTATCAGCTGGTCCCATTGAACCAGATATCTTTCGACCAACATCATCGACACACCAACATACCAGACCGTTCCTCGAACATTGTTTAGTTTGAAATTCTCCTTCTAAAAAATCATTCGTTTTTAATCATTAATTTAAAAACACTTGAGTTATATGTACGTACTTGATAATATAATGAGAACAGATTTTTTTAATTTTCTTTACCTTCCGTACATTGCGGTATGTAACCTCGGCCCTGTTTTTCCGAAATACTTAACATTTCTGCCAGCATACGATCATGCCGACATACGCTAAGATTTTCGGGTATAAAACAACTACCACCGCAGCGTTCACTTTGACAACATTTCTGTGGCGGTGGACATTCCAAATCGTGTTGGCACGTTCTACCACAAATCGTTGGTTCCTCGTTTGGGCAAGTACCGGCTCTCGTTAAATTGAAATTTGAGGGACAACAAACCCCATATTCCTGTTTCGGATCTACCAAACATCTATACATCGGCGGACAACTTGGTTTTCCTGCTGTATTACCGCATAGGAATGGTCTCAAAGAATCTGTGATTTGCAATGGTTCACCTGCCGGGCATACGTTGAAGAGGGATTTAGCTTTACGACAGCTTGGCACCGGTGGACACGGAGGACGTGCACAGGGTACATCGATTAATTCACATATCTGACCCGGACTTGGACAAGTTATACCACGACATGGATCTCTGCATTCACACTTGGGACACCCACTGTTCGTATCGATCTACAAATTACGATTAAATAAATTAGATTAATTAAATTTAGATCCAACCAAAGGGATACTTTTTTTATTTTCTGATTAGAAGAGCAAAATTTGATACGTTAAAGTATGCAAGAATAATAATAATAATAATAAAAAAAAAAAAAAAAAAAAAAAAAAATAGAAAAATTACTTCGAATCCAAGCGGGCAAAACATTCGACAAGAATGTGCTGGACATGGTTTAGGATTATTGCAATCAATATCATCGATGTTAGATCCTATCGTTCCAGGAATTTCACTACCAATCTTCTCGTCGACGCACCAACAACGTTTTTTCTCGGGATCACACTGTACCCTCTCAAAATCTCCTGTTTTGTTATTACATTTTGGTATATATTGCGATATCACGGTCCAACTGTCAAGAGCACGGAATCTCTTAACAGCTGCCAAAGCCAATTGTTCGCATCCTGATAGTTCGCTACCGACGCATCTCAATCCGCAGGCTGTTTTGCAGCAACGTTCTTCGAATAATTGACATTCGGAATCTATCTTACAGGATGGTGACCTCGATGGACAAATGTTTTGCTCTTCGAAGGATGGACATCGACCTGTTGTAGCTTTTAGAGATGACTCTGTAAAAAATATTTTATATCACGTTGGTAAAGTATTTCTTTTTTTTTCTCTCTTTTCTTTTTTTCTGTGCGCTTATTAATATCGCATATTAGTAAAGAGATATCGATGAGCAAACACGTTCCTTCGTTCATCTTTATGTGTCATACACACATATACACACATATATATATATATATATACATAGAATCGCGCGTGCGTAACACGGTGATAATAATAATACAAATAAATAGAGTCAATCCTAACGGTTTCTCGCACCCTACTGCCACACTTACCTAAGCATGCTACCAAACACGTTTCCTGGATACTTCCATCAATAAAAACGCTGATATATATATATATATATATATATATATATATATATATATGTGTCTGATTTAGATAATATTGAAAATTCTTATGACCGTAGAAATTTAAACGAATTAAGTACGTGATCAAATATAGACAGTATATGAAAAGAAAATGGAGAGATATTTCGATCGATGGGAACACGATAACTAGCTTTCTAACGAAAGTGATTAATAACGAAAAGCAAAAAGCGTGATATACGTGGAAGAGTTTCGCATAATAATAACTCTTTTTATTAAATCGTTCTCATTCGATTTAATTTTATTTTTAGAAAGATATTACATTTTAGATTTATATACGTCTATATATATATATGTATATATATATATATATTTTATATATATATATTTTAAAATATTTATCAAAAGAAAGTGTGGATACATGATGGCATAAAGATATATATATATATATGTATATATAAGTCTAGAAAGTATGAGATTAGTCGAGTTCAAAGGTCTCCTAATCTTTTTTGTTTTTTCGTTTCAATATTTTCGTTGGAAATGGGAACAGATATAAAAACATGGGAAAGATTTTTAAAAGAAACGCGGGTCCACATTCTTTGCGGGATGAGTAAAACGGCATAGCAGAAATTGTCGGGCTGAGAGAACCGGCTTGTTGCTGGTTAGCTGGAGTTAAAAACGTTTTGTAGATACTAAATCATTCAAATGCGGTATAATATTATCTTGTCGATAATTCAGTTAGACCGCAAATTAAAAAGAAGAAGAAAAAAAAAAGGAAAGAAAGAAGAAGATAAAAAAAAAAAGATGATGATAATAATAATTGAAAATTTCAAAATTACTGGACAAAACCGTATTATAGACGTGCTTTTTATATAAACCACATTCAAGCGCGTTATAACTCACTTTATGGTATCCATTTAAAAGATTGAAATGTGCGACTGTTTTTGTTCGGGGAGAAAAAAAATAAATACAAACAGCGTGCAATCTTTATTAATTTTTTTCTTCCATTAGGATGGAATAAAATCGATCGAAATTATAGCGTCGCTCGGGTGAACTACTGAGTAATATATTTCTCAAAAAAAAAAAGAAAACCTGACGTCCTGTGGTGAAATAAACGATAGAGTACTTGGCAACGTATCAGCCGCCATTCCAACGACATGATCGTGCGAGCGAATGATTATTGATCATTGTCGATCGACCGTAGAAAATGATTACTTCCAAAGCTAGCATGTTCATAGAATCTGTGCATGTTCATAGAACTGCATGTTCCATAAATGTGCATGTTCGTGAAGATTTAAAAATGCAAAAAGTTTCCCCATCGGATTCCCCGGTGATTCCATGAATGCTTAAGAAGAAGAAGAAGAAGAGGAGGAGGAGAAGGAGGAGAAGGAGGACCGGTTAAGAAAAGTTTGGAAGTGTATTCATTGTCCAAACATCGAAAAAAGAAATGCACAAGATGAACGACTATAGAGGAACGACTTCTGTAGTTTAAAAAGATTAAAAAAAGGAAGAAACCGAGATGAGATTAAAAAAAAGCCACCGTTTATCTTATTTCAATGTTTAACATTATTTATTCTGATGTATCTATCTTAGATTTCTTTTTGTTTCTTTCTTTTTTGATCCTTTTTTTTTATCCTTCTTTTAAGATCTTTATTTGATCATACATTAATCAGAAATTAAGACAACTTCCTTCAGGAATAATAAATAATTAAATTATATATATATGTATATATATATATATATATATATATATAGATATATAAAATTAAATGTTATATAATAAATAATATCTAATAATTAATAAAAATTAAAAAAAATATATATAAGAAGTAATATATTAATTTAATAATAAATAAATTTAAAATGCCAATAATTATTTTATAATCTTGTATTTATGACATCTTTGATTTTATTAATAGATAGTTAAATATTAATATAAAAGATATTTTTAAATTTATTAGGCCAAAAGATTTTAATTAATAATGAGAATTTAATTGGAAAATTAATTATCTATATTAAATTATTCATAATAATCTTATACGTATAAATATATAAATATTTGTTAATAAAAAGTCGTTTAATATTAATAATAATTATTTAATAAACTAATATATAGATTTAATAATAAATCTTTAATATAAATATATAAATTTAAATATTTAATTAAATATTTTATTATAATAAAAATTTATTATAAATATATTAATATATATATATATATATATCATATATATATTAATAATAAAATCAAATATATATATAATAATAAAATCAATAATAAATATCGAACAATCAATAAAATAATTATTATTCGAATCCGATCGTAATTGATCGAAAAAGAAAAGAAAAAAAAGAAAAAAAAAGAAAGAAAAGAGAAAAAAATCGATCGAATTTTTTTCAATTAACAAAGATCGGATTATAATATGGATGATTCTATCGAAACGTTTCATAAACGTTTCTTGCGTTGTCGCAAGGACGAGAGAATCATTTAAGAATAGTTTCGAAATCCGATCACGTTTACCACATCGCATTATATGCAGATGCACGTCCGTTTCGAGAGCGCGTACTTTCCTTTTTTTTTTTTCTTCTTCTTCTTCTTCTTCTTTTTATATCTCTTCTTTCTTTTTTCTTTTTTTTTCTTTTTCTCTAAACGCGTTTGCATCCTCCCCACCCACCCTAATCAACCTCTCGATCCTCTGCCAGATGGTAGTAAGCAAGAATAATTTTATTGTTTGCTAATGGGACTATTATTTCAATGGGTTTTTATATAACGATGAAATTATACCATGGAATTGGATGTGAATTGGTCGATCAAGTAAAAAAGTAAAGAAATAAAGAAAATGAATTAATAAATAATAAATGTAATAATAGAGAAGAAGTAATGACGTACCAGCTCCAACCAAGGATGACAATGAAAGAAGAAGAAGAAGGCAGGTCGATGACACCCACACAACGGCGCATGCAAGCCCACCGTTGCAAAGATCACGTTGCATCCTCAACGCATCAAGTGATGTTTTGACCAACCACTATATCTGTAAAATATATTATAAATATATTTACAATATGATACATATATTATATATATATATATATATATACACACGATTAAATTATATTTTAGAATTGAATTTTTTGTAATAAAATCGCAAATATTAACAGAGCAAACACACGAGCGAAGGTATAGTATATATAGGATGAAACAAAAGTTCCTAGATAATTTAAAAAAAAAAAAAAAAAAAAAAAGTAAATTACTTCTTCTCGAAATACTTTTCACGTTAAATTCTCTTTTGATTTTATTATCAAAGAAAATAAAAAAAGATTAGCCTGAAAAATCTCAAAAATGATAATTGATTTTTTAAATCTGTGCCTGAGAACTTTTGACCCATCCTTCTATTCTTCTTTCGTTTCAGTATCAAGACAAAGAAAATAATAATAATAATAATAAGTTACAACTATCTTTCTTTCTTTCCTTCTTTCTCTTTCTCTCTCTCTCTCTCTCTCTTTCCTTATTTGTTATTCTATGTAGATAATATTCTAATGGGCTTTGCCACGTTATTCATGAAGTGAACTCGACTGTAAGAATCGTCACGGACCAATTCCATTCTCTTTTTCCATTTCTACATTCAATTTAAAACATCTAAAAATATTTACACTAATCTGAACAAATTGATCTTAGTATTACATAGTAAAATACAACGATGATTAAATTTCTATTTCTTTTTTTTTTTTTTTTTTTTTTTCATTTTCTTTTCTTTTTCATATTACATAATTACATATTATGATTAACATGAAAGAAAATATTATCTAAAATATTTTAATAATTTTCTTCAATATAATATAATATATATTTATTATATTATGCATGCATTATTATTATTATTATTATTATTATATATTTCTCTTGAAATAAATACACAGATATTTAAATTGATATATAAAATATTTTTCAATAATTAAAGTTATAAATAAATAAATAAATATATATATATATATATATATATATATATATAGATATATATATATAACAAGAAAGTAAAATATTTCTCCCAGTCATCCAATCTAATTTTAGAATTAATTCGAAGGTGAAGCAGAGAGACTGCGGTTGTTTTACAGTGAAATTACTGACGGTTACATCCTTTGGGAAGCCTTTAAATTTAGGGTGTATCCTGTCTTATGAATAATGCATGAAGGGTGGCTCACGAAACGACGATGTTGCTTTCAGTGGGTCGAACGTGTAAGTAATTACATTGATTCCTTACCTCCAAGTTACTAGTTTATTATTAATATATCTACTCCCTTAGGAAACACATATATACATATATATATATATATACACACACACACACACACACATATGTGTATGTATCTGATGTATTATATAGTAACAATAATAATAATCGTGAATATATATTTATTAAAAGTAGTATGCAGTTGCGATTTTGTTCGAATTTTAATATTTACGATCTAATGCGCCTCCATTGAGTTAATTAAAATTTTTTTTTTTTTTTTTTTTTTTTTTTTTTATTAAATAAATATCTTTCTTTTTTTTTTTCTTTTTCCTTCCTTTTTTCCATTCCAAATAATAATTTCAATCCACGCATCAAGTTTTATTCTATTAATTTAAATATTATAAACGAGGACATGAATGTTAATGAATACGACGTTTAATTAAAAATTTACAAAAGCGTTGGATGGATAAAAATAAAAGGATATGTTTTAGAGAAGAGAATGCCGGATGTGGGTCAGTTCGTCATCGACGTTTCTTCCGGGTCAGTTGTACACCTCTCTTCGGTAGAGATACCTTTTATACTACGTTGCTAACTTTCTATTGTCATACTCGTACTCAACACTGCGTTTGTATAAATATATATATATATATGTATGTATTTATAAATATATGTATATGTGTATATGCATGTGCGTATGTATGTATGTATGTATGTATGTATGTATGTGTGTATGACATTCCCCATTCTGCGTCATCAGTGGAATACTTTCTTTGAAATCCGCTTTTAAAAGATATTTCTTTCTTTACGAAAGTCTTATTCTTTTCCTTGTCATTAATCGTAAATCATTAATAAGAATAAATTAAGTCGTACGAATAACAAAACGATTTTAGTTTGTTTTTCTTTTTTTTTTCTTTTATTTTTTTTTCCCTCCACCTTGATGATAAATAACAAAAATCATTTATTAATAAATGATCATACGTTGCTAGCATATCTCATATCATATATTCTCTTATATCGGAATATTGTAAAATTGCAGATGATTATAAAAATTGATTATTTTTTTCGAGATTTTTTACAGTAATTTTCTTCTTTTTTCTTTCTTTTTTTTTTTTTTTTTTTTCTCAGACTGTAAAATTACAAGCTACAGTTAAACGGGGAAAAGATAAATCGATTTTTAAAATCACATAAGAACTTTTAGCTTATCCTGTATTATCCTCTAACATTCTTACAAAGATTAAAAATATATATGTTAGTAAAATTAGTTATAAGAAATACGAGATATGAATGTACTGTCATTTTGAGGACACATATATATGTAATTTTATACTTATGTACATTATATGAATATATGCGTGTTACACATACGCATATCTATTTATGTCTGTGTAAATGTGGCATAGCAATAAGCATTTAACTGGAATTACTTGACCCTATGTTGGCTGGGTTAGTATATACTTTTCATTGCTTCTAGAACCTGTTAAAATGTCCTTTTGCATTGGTCGTTTTCAACTAACTGCAGTTAATATAATTATAAGTTTTTAGTGCGGTTAACGTGAAGAAGAAAAAGAAGAATGAGAGGTCAGTAGATTCATAATTTTGATCTCTCCACTTTAAATTTTTATTAGAATAGTTTCACAAGATTTTCATGATTCCCACGGTTACTCTCGAATTCGTTATTGAAATATTCAAAGCTTCTCCTTTTTTTCTTTTTTTTTTTCGTAAGTTTTATCAAATTTTATCTAAATCAA